CGCTGCGCCGCGCTCCAGCAAACTGGACGGCTTAGAGGTGTAGAATTTACAACGACGAGACCGGGATGGGTGTTTAGAGGGTGGGAATTACAAAAATCCAGTCTGCCCCTGGGCGATGGGGAACGGATCAAGCCCGCCGCGAGGTAGCCGGGGAAAAGGATGACGTCGATTTGAGTTACCTTACACGTATCGCTTCTTATTAGGAAGAAAGGGGTGGGGAATATCATGATTGCTGAATGTGAGCCTTTAACTATAACGTGTGTCCCTGTAGCGCAGTGGATAGCGCGTTGGACTTCTAATCCAAAGGTCCCGGGTTCGAATCCCGGCAGGGATGGGTTTTGACAAGCAGCATACTTGAATTGTCTGTGGTTCGAAGTATGCACATGTAACAGATCAATACACGCGCACACAGCGCTACCAGTGGCGTGGTCCGGGAGCCTGGGCAATAATCGTGGTGCAACCATGTGCACAGACGCCGTGACGTTGTTCGTAAAATGAGTGGTGTCGCCACAGGCCAGTTTCGAAGTTTGCTTAGGAATGTCTTGGGCCGTTCAAAGCTGCTTTACCGGAAAATGGTTAAAAATTAAACTACCTGGAAAATAGCCCCTATTCAGCTTCGAACACACCGATGATTTAGGCGAGTCAACGCAGCGGTGTGATGCTGCCGTTCCATCACCGTCAATACCACCCATATACCGATGCACTGCGATGATTTCACTGCCTCACCGACTACGTCCCTAAAAGTGCTGGAATTGCTAAGGATAGTCCGCTACGTTAGTCCTCACTCCAGCAAACGGGCCGCGAACCATGGTCGATTCAAGCACACCGCTTGTCAGAACCCCATTCCTGCCGGGATGGGAACCCGGAACGCTTTGCCTTCATGGCTTGATCACATATGCAATAAATCTGGCAACCGACAGTTGATACCTTTGAAGTGGAGCTACGGCACCCCTTTCCTTTCCATTTTGACGACACGTCTAATCCCGGCGGTAAGGTACGATGGGGACCTGGGACATTTACGAGGCACTTGTGAAGCGCCATGTATGAAGTTCTGCAGCAAGCACATTATGAGAGACGGAAAGGTATACATACGTGCGGAGGCGTAGTTTCGCGAAACAAGATAGGGTTGAGCAATAAGAAATGGCTGAACCTACCATGGCAATACAGAAAAGCGCGTTTCCTCCCGGATTAGGCACAAGTTATTATCAAATTTAGGCGGGAAGGCTCCAGCCGCCCCATTCCCTAGCCCAATAGGATAAAATATTGGAGTTATTATTGTGTAGGTATTTAACTTTGTAAAAACTCACTGCTTTCACTGCCCGTGAAGATTCAAATTGCATAGCTTTATAACTACTGCATGCTAAGGCAGCAACTTGTCAGCGACGCGCATGGAAGCAGTAAAAATGCGCGCATGCTATGGAATCCGAATGCCAGCACAGAACAGAACTGCTGGCAATGTCTGCAGACAATCGATACTGCGCTCTCAAGTCCCGGAACAGGGCCTTAAAGCTAAGTAGGGTGTTCAGTTGATATTTTCTGCGAGAAAAACTGAAAACACATTTCAGCAGCAAACATTAATCACGGCGGCCCATGCCACATGCAGGTAAGTCTCCTCGTCTTACTCAACCTAGTGGCAGACGGACGAGGCACGTGTCCACATCAGTCCGCCTCTTCCCGCCTGACCCTCTTACTGAGCAGACGAAAACTGGTCGACCATTTGGGTCTAACCGCTTACCGGGTTGTTTGAGCCGTTGGATATTTGCGCATATGTGCGCCGGTTCACATATCCTGTTCGGAAACTGATTCCAAGTTCAGCTGACCGGCCAGGCATAGCGTGCAGGATATGATGCATCTGTTTGCAGGTCTCACATCTACTGTCATTTTGCGTTATAGGATTCTGGATGGCGAACCCAACCTAAGGAACACCAAAATTACTTATATGGTCATGGTTTCATGCAGCGCAACCGCTTCGGTTATTCCCGCCCGCCATATCTTAGTCTATGGTACCACTTTGATTTAAATGCCTTAACTTCAAAACCACATGACTTTTGGAATTACTCTCAATCTCCGACGGTGGTCCCCGCAAAGATGTAGCGGGACGTCTAAAGCATCCAACATATCCCCATACTATTTGTCATAGCCATAATCACTATGTACAAAACTACGACAGGTCTGTATCACTGCCCAAAATGCGTTGTCACTGGCGCAGTCGGCGGCCAACAGCCCCGGTCACACAGCAAGCATTCTCCCTGATCACGCATGACTGCACAAAACACGGCACATCGGCCGACCGCCCAGATCGGCAACGGCACGGTAACGCGGGGCAAATGTACGTGCGTCTGATCGCCTGGCAAAACAGAGCCGCCACGCAGAACGTTACTCTCATTTCACCTCTCCCACCGCAATCTTTCTCATCATGCCACCGAACGTTCCACTCTGAACATCTGGCCCACCGAGGGACTGGCACACCCCTCTCCCCGGGGTGCCCAGTAGGTGTGCTGGCGCACCTCTTAGCACAGTGTTGGCGCCACTGTAGCCTTACGAGGCGGTACGAGTTTATGTGCAGCGCGGACCACCCAGTTCTGAAGATTCGAAACTCGAAAGTCCTTCGCTCGCGAAATGGGGCATGCTACAGAGGTTTTAACGACAGTGCCCTGTTATGCCCTGGAGAGCGTGTATTTCACATCTCACACTCCACGGACGAGGAAACGTCAAGTTTCAATTGCACTTGCATTTCAATATATTTCGTCAATATTGTTACATCTGATGGCGCAGAAGACGAGACTGGAACGTATTTCCTCCTACAGGCATTGACACAGCTGCAGCACCCACATGTAACATGAAACGACCTGCTGGCATGTAAATGTAAACACTAAACACCAGAGATAATAAATCGCATGCTGAACTGATTGTTGGCGCGAACACGGCAGTCATTTCAAAAGAATGAATACTTGTGGTCTGCATGGCAGGTCACATAGCATTTTCAAGCACAAGACCAGCGTAAAAACTGGAGATAAAAGCAACAATAAACAAAATACTAGGATGTCAAAAATATTCAAACTTGGCTAGTAAAAGTTTGGTCAAGTTGAGAAACAATTCAGGAAAATACAAACTATTTGCTTTGAAGCAAAGATTGCTTTCACTCCATACAATGCTCACACTTCCTTTGAACCATTACAATGCAATGGGTACATGATGAAAATAAAAACTCCAGCCAGAGTTGCAATTTGTACATAAGATGCCATCCAGCTCTACAGATGCTCTCAAATCTAGTCTACTCAGCCCACTATTACAGCTCCATTTCACAGCAATAATGCAGACATCTACTCACCTTAATGAAGATAGCCTGAGTAATGTTGTAAATTAGCAGCATGTCTGACAGCTAAGACATTGTATCACATCACACTTCTATAGAGTCACTGTTCTGAGAAGAGTCAGTCATGAACACATTGCTCCCAATGGTTGCCACAGGGACAGTATTGATGAACATGGGCCCTTGAAACACTGGATGTTGCATGTGAATGACATGATGAACTGGTGGCAATGTAGCCGCCTGATGGGGTGAGTCTATTCTCATGGGCTGGTACACTGGCTGCTGCTGCAGGTTCTGTGCAGCTTCTGGTGCTGCTGGTGGCTGCAGCACAGGTTGCAGCTCATGTATTTTGATGTTTTCTTGGTTTGGTATGTGAGGCCTCACCTTCTTCCCTCCAGGTCTGTGAGGATTTCTGCAGCCTCTGCACTTGCAGTCCATGCAAGCCCTGGACTCAACATAACAGGGGCATCTTTGGCCACAACAGGTGAGTTTTCCAGGTGTTGGTGTTGCATTTCCACATCTGCAACCTTTCTGAAGCTTTTTTCTTCCCCCGCTCCTTGATGCTGTGATACTGCCATTCTGCATCACCCTGCTGTTGGTATACTCTGGGCCCAACCTGGCCAAATGAAGTAACTGCTGGATACTTGTGGTAGTTGGCTGCTTCCACTGGTGTCACTTTCATCTTTGCAGCTTGTCACCATCACTTGAAAAGAACATTGAATATAGTGGAGGATGGGCAGGAGCAGATGATGATGGTGGGGGTGGTTGAGATAGTGGTGAGGACATGTGGGACATGGCAGGCTGCTGGGAAAAGTGAACTTCAGGACTAGGTGTGAGATGGCTGTGAATAGACTCCTGATGTAGACACTGGAATGATCTGTTGAGAAGTGATGACAGGTGGGTTCACTGGGCTTGATATATGAATATTGGCATGGTACATGACACCCTCATTGGAGGAATGCTCTGAATCAACCATCTCACTTTTCACAACAGGAACATCTTCAAAACTGTCTTCATCCTCCTTCACAGTCCACTCACTGGGCCCTTGACAGTTAGCTCCCTCCTGTATCAGTTCAAACAGACTGGACTTGCTCCCATTCAGTGAAAAAGAGTTCAGCTTCTGATAGATTTCAGTTTGTTGCAAATACTGACAAGTCTTGCGGAATGCTTCAACAATCAACTGAAGCTGTTGGTTTGAGATGTATGCAGAATAATCTTTGCAGTTAACTGCAAGATGGTTTCAGCCTCTTCTTGCCACCATTGCAGGAAAAACAAACACTGTGCTGGCACTGACTATCAGATGGGCTTATGGGGTTTTCTATAATACACCCACAAACTGTGCACGCTAACGCCTGGCGCAGCTGCGGCAATAGCTTGTACAGATCTCCCCAGCTTGTGCTTCTTCCACGGACGCCTCCACAACCAGCTTGCACAATTTCAGGTGCAGAGATAATGCATGACTAGAGGACATCATGCACTTTTTCGTTCACACTAGTCCACGACTCTACGGGTGCACATTGCCAACGTCGCCATGCCACAATCGCTCGCACGCCGCCCTGTCCAAATTTGCGTTCACGAACACTAACGTGCGCCACATTCAGAAGTTTGGTAGCAAAGGTAATGCAGCCACATTTATCTAAAAACGCAGGAAAACTGTGGACTGTTAAGTTTGCTTTCATTAGGCTTTCCGGCCGCCCGATGTCTGGTTGCCCACGCGGATTGTGCGATGCCCACGCGGGGCGGCTTCGAACGGGTGAGTGCGGTCGGAAGGGTGCCGCGCAGCGTCGCCGACGTCAGGTTCACATTCCCTGCCAGGGTCCTGCCAATTGCCAGGTCCGTAAAACATGACGTGTCACACACAGGATCTGGTTGGGATAGGGATGGAGCAAAACAACTTGAGGCAGGCGTCTGTTGCAATGGGTAGCCTTAATACCATGGACGTTGGAAGCTGGATCGATGAGCTTGGGGCGGCTTGATGCTTCTGGTGACTGAATAATGAGAGCTCTGAGTAGCGTTTGTCCCTCTGGTGGAGGGTGTAGGCTACCTCAAAAATGTCAAAAGTCCTTGCCTTGGATTGCAGCTTTTTACATCACTGGAGTAAGTCTTCCGCAAAGTCCTTACAGACAGCACAACGATTTGATCGCTGGTATTTATATTTTCCTTGCACCTGGCTTGACTTAAAATTTGCTTGTGAGGAGCTCTACCCACATATGTGATGCATGTCAACATTGAAAGTGCATTTGTCCATTGTTTGTTGGTTCTCTTATTCATGATTGCTCTGGATGAATGCTCCATTTTGTGTTTTCAGCACTCTGTGTTTTGTCTGACTGCCTGATGGACAGCTGAGTGTATTATGGGAACAGAATCTTAGAAATATTTCCCATTGATCACAAACATGTTAATGTGTAAAACTAGGCCATTGGGAGGTTTGTCACCCCCAGTGCCAGCTCAGCACTTTGGGGACCCTGATCATGAACTGATCTGTAAATTGTGGCTGAGGTAATGCTAGGTATTTTGCATATTGCTAAATTGTCATTACTTGTACGCAATTATCAAATGAGCACTTCCGAAGCTGCCTGGTAGTAGAGTCTGTCATCCAAGTCTGACAATTGAGACCATGCCTTGAGGCTGCATATAATTTTGTGTTTTTCTAAGCTATAGCCTAATACATTTATAACCATTTTGCATGTTTTGCACTGTGTGGGCAGGATAATCTGCTGTGTGCATCTGGAATTTAATAATGTTTTGACCTTGGGTTTTGCAGGTAAATAATCAAGAAAAGCCTTTTTGGCAATATGCCATCCTCCACAGGAGAAATTACCCAAAAGACAGAATGCTTACCAGCTATTGTGAAGAGAGCAAGAAATGGCAGGAAAAACTTGCCATCGTGGAAAACAAGGTAGGATACCTGACATATCAAGTACCAAGTATCTAGTCATCCTGGGTGTTGGTGGCACATACATGCTGAGCATGTCTGGGAGTTATGATTGGCTGGAAATTACCACCAGATCAAAATGCCTGGGGTTATATATATATATATATATATATATATATATATATTGTGTATGTATGTATGTGTGTACCAGATAAGCTAATTTAGTGTGGTGGCCCTTTCATTTCTAGGCAGCTGAAAGAACATGGTGTTGGTGCATTCCTTCAACAGCTGCTAGGTGTGGGAGGTACTTCTGAAGAGCAGAGTCCATCTACTCCACTCAGCTTGACCAGCAGTAATAAGCCAGCTCCAAACAAGGACCAAGTTCATGGGAAACCATCAGCCAGTGGAGAAGGGTAATATAAGCTAAAAGAAAAACCTTACTTTGTTCCCCAGTTTTGACTTTGACTTTGACTTGACTTCTCTTAAAATCTAAAATAACTTAATGCTAACAGGAAAATGTCAACTTCGCAGCTGTTAAGTGAAGCATTTGTTCCAGCATAAGTGCCCATTGGTATTTCCCACAAATGATCTCAAGCATCCACTTATTTCAGAGATGGCCCTGAGGCTGTCAATGTGCCCTACCCCCAAACGCTGGTGCCGGTGGCATCCCTGCCAGATCACCCCAGCGAGGGGCGCAGGGGCGGCGTCCGGAAGCGGAAGGCGTCGTCGATCAGCATACCGGCCGAGATCCGGCAGTCACCTGAGCTTCGCAAGTACTGGCACCAGCGCTACCGGCTCTTCTCCAGGTCAGCCGCTGGCCGGATGGGGGCGCATTGGGAGAGGCAGTGGTCACACAGCCTCCTTGGGTTCCAGGCGTGGCTGGTCTGTGGTGAATCAGCACTGCGGTCAACACCTGGATGGCGGATGGGTGCAGGTTTACTGTAACAGTGGGCGTGGAGCATTTCTTACTTGAGCATTCTGAGATTAAGTTCAACCACCAGTATTCATCCATATTGCAACCAAAAATGTGTTGTGATTTGATGAGCACTTGATTGATTGCTTTCATACTGATCTGCCTGATGTACGTGGCTGTGCATCCAAGCATGGAGAGTGACGTCTATGCCGTATCAGCCCGTACTTTGGCGTTGACATGTAAGGGCCTTACCAGTGGGTTCGCGCGTGTCGCACCTGACCCGCGCCCCGGCCTTGACCCAGGTTTGACGAGGGTGTGCAGCTGGACCGGGACGGCTGGTTCTCGGTGACGCCCGAGCACATCGCGCGCCACCTGGCCGACCGCTGCCGCGCCGACGTCATCGTGGACGCCTTCTGCGGCGTTGGCGGCAACGCCATTCAGTTCGCGGCCACTTGCCGTCTGGGTGAGGAGGAGCGATACAAGGCGCCCGGGGAGACCTGATATGGGTAGATGGGTCAGATGGCTGTGAGGGGCCCTCTGCAGGAACGCGCGCACCAACTGACGAGGGGCATGCTCATCAGCACCCACCAGCGCTGCGTGCGGAGTGCGGGTGCACCCGTGTTTGACAGCTTATGTCTTGCCTTACGGCGGTGGTCGGAATGGCTGCTACGTGACCTAGGATATTATAAAGTCGCGCTATCTATGTTATAGAGTCGTGCTGTCTTAATTCCTCAGTGCGTTGTCCCCTGGCATGGTCCACACATTGGATCCGTAGTCGCTTGCATAGTGACCTGGGTGTGAGTATAGCATCTTTGTTTCTCTCTGCGCATTCCCTTGCTTTTCCCTATACTTGTGATGCCTGTGTACGACGAACCGGACTCGCTATCCCCACATTTTCTCTGCGTCCCTGCACCAGCCGATCATCAGGCGATGTGCGCGCCTGTCCTAAGCCACCACCTAGCCCCACACGTTCGATTGCCGGTCGGCAGTCATCGCCGGCAGCTGGCGCCGCCAGAGGTCGGCCGGGTCCTGACGCGGCGTCTCCCCTGCACCAGTGATCGCCGTCGACATCTGCCCGGAGCGGGTGCGCTTGGCGCGCCACAACGCCGCCGTCTACGGCGTCCAGCACAACATCCAGTTCGTGGTGGGCGACTTTCTTTCGGCTGGCGCCGCGGCTGCACGCGGACGCCGTCTTCCTCTCGCCGCCCTGGGGCGGTAAGGGCCGAACCGTCCCCGCTCTGAGCGGCCTCGCGGGAAACGTTTGTGGTTTTTCAGTCTTGCGTCAGAGTCATGAATGGCAGGTGTCGCGTGGTTGCCCCCTTGGTTTTCTGTCATGCAGCACGACAACGGAAATGTGTCGTTACAATATGTTCCGTCCTTCTCTTACCCTCCCCGCCCCGCCGCAGGGCCGGGGTTCAGGGGCGCCGCGGCGTACATGTTCCGTCCCTCCCTGACCCTCCCCTCCCCGCCGCATGGCCGGAGTACAGCGGCGCCGCGGTGTACGTGTTCTGTCCGTCCCTGACCCTGTCCTCCCCGCCGCAGAGCCGGAGTACAGCGGCGCCCCAGTGTATGACGTGTTCCTCCCTCCCTAACCCTGCCCTCCCCCGCCGCAGGGCCGGAGTACAGCGGCGCCGCGGTGTATGACATGTTCCGTCTGGACGGCTCCATGGACGGTCGCCGTATGATGCGGGCCGCCCGCCGTATCTCGCCGAACGTGGCTCTACTGGCACCGCGCACTGCCAACCTCGACCAGGTGCGGACCGAGCCGCCGAGGGGCCGCACTCGGATCATGCGCGTGCTCTGGAGGCGCTTCTTGTGTAGGAGGCACACGATATACGGAACCACCGGCTCGTCGGTCAGCATGGTGTGCGTGTAAATTTGAAGTTTGCGTGATGTTCTTTAAGAATGTGTTCTATGATTAATTTCGTAACGCCCCGATATCGACTGCTGGCCACTCGGGATGTGCGCTGGCGATCCTCCGCTCGCAATGCTACTGACAGTTGTATGTGTCTGGGACCCAATTTCTAGTCGATTTGCCCCGTTGCATGCCCGTGGCCCAATACCCAGCATAGCCAACACCATGCAGCTGCACGCCCCATTCGATCTGACTCCTCCCTGACGCTCCGTCCGTTATGTGGTCAGTTAGCGGCGCTGGCCGGCCCCGGCGGACGGGTGGAGGTGGAGCAGAACCTTCTGAACGGCCGCGCCAAGACCATCACGGCGTACTACGGCGGTCTGGTCCGGCCCGCGCCCGCCACCTGAGTCGGGGCCAGTCCCCCCGGCCCGCGCCCGCCTCCTGAGTCGGGGCCAGTCCCCCCGGCCCGCGCCCGCCTCCTGAGTCGGGGCCAGTCCCCCCGGCCCGCGCCCGCCTCCTGAGTCGGGGCCAGTCCCCCCGGCCCGCGCGGACGTTCATCGTGGTGTCGCTTGGCTCCGGTGGTGATTTTTTATTCATTTGCCACCGAAGAGTTTCGCTGCGTGTGTTAAGTGTGCGTATGAAGGGCGGGTGGGCTGAGCTTTCGCCGAGCTAGCTGGGAGCTGCGTTTGTGGGCTGAAATCAGGCGGCGTGTCGGCCGTTTCAGAGCGGATTGCGCATCGTGGCGGACGTGCAGCGGGTTTTGACGCGCTCAACCACGGCATTTGACGTGTTCGCTTAATGATAATTGTCGGCCTGACAACCGGATGACAGCGACGGCAGTGGTGGACAACGTTTTTGGACCAATCGAAAACCGCAACTGTCTTTTTATAGCCATCCCATAAGCAACGTTACGCGTGCCAGCAATGCGTGAGTTAGCCTCGGTCCTCGTCGACACACGTGTGGTGGGCGACTCTGGGCGCCCAGATCTGACGCTCGCTGAGCGCCGGTTGCCTCAGAAGTCCAAGGTCCGATTTCACGTCTGTCTGCAGCACTGGAGCTCCCTCGGTGGGCGGAGGATCGAGCGGGTCCCGGCCCACTGCCGCCGCGTGGAGCTATCCGGGACAGGCTTTGCCCATTGATGCACAGCTCGTTGATGCAGCATGCCAAGGCAATATGTCCATTGATGCAACACGCCTGTTGGGCATGTTGCATCAACAAAAGGCCCAACAGACATTGATGTAACACGCCCATTAATGCACAGCTTGAGGTGCAAACGGGCAACACTCACGCTCTGGGGCCGCTTTGGCTGCGTTTTACCTGAAGTTTTTTAATGGGCTGGGTCGAGGAGCCTCTCTGTGATTTACGAGCCGATCTCTCAGCCGGACTTGTAGATCTCAGAGCAGATCTCTCAGCCGGACTTGCGGATCTCGGAGCAGATCTCTCAGCGTGACTTGCGGATTTCAGAGCCGATCTCTCAGCCGGACTTGTAGATCTCAGAGCAGATCTCTCAGCCGGACTTGTAGATCTCAGAGCAGATCTCTCAGTCTGACTTGTGGATCTCGGAGCCGGTCCCTCAGTCTGACTTGTGGATCTCGGAGCAGATCTCTCAGTCTGACCTGTGGATCTCGGAGCCGATCTATCAGTCTGACTTGTAGATCTCGGAGCCGATCTCTCAGTCTGACTCGTGGATCTCGGGGCCTATCTCTCAGTCTGACTTGTGGATCTCAGAGCCGATCTCTCACTCTGACTCGTAGATCTCGGAGCCGGCCGCCACCGGCATTTGCGGAGCAGGGCTGTCACCAGTCCTCGATGCGAGGTCCGGGTCAGTCTGACTGGTTGTCCTCCAAGCGCCCAATGCTGGTGACGCCCCTTCTTCAGAGGTCTGGGTCATACGTGGTGAAAATCCACTGTGGATATGCGACGCAATAGCCACGTGTCATGGCTGACGCTGAGTTATCTGCGGGTGATAGTCGACGTCCTGATCGGCATTGCGTTTAAGCTGTGTTGTGGTCGTGTGCGCCCATTATGACCTTACTATCAAATAGTAACGCAGGCAGGGGCCACATGGGGCACATGCCCCCCACCCCGTTAGGCTCCGAGGGGCCCCTCCGAACCTACGATAAGGGTCCGAAGGGCCGGCTAGGGGTCTTTCGGGGGCCCGGCCCGTATGGCCGGGCACTCAAATGCCAGCAGAAGGGCCTTGCGCGACGATCAGGGGCCTCTGAGTCAATAAGGACCCATATTGCGGTCAGACGCCACCAGTAGCGCACGTTGGCCCCGTGGCGGAATGAGCTTAAGGGGTCATTTCCCAAGCAGGGACGAAGCCGGAGCCAACGATTTACATTGCTTGGGACGCCACAGCGCCTGACAGGGGTCATGTGTTTTCAAGGGGCCCCGAGTTGGCCAGGGGCAGTGTTCGAGGAGGCCCGAAGAGCCTGGGGGGGCCCACCCGGTTTGTCGACCAAGGGCCTGGTTGGAGGGTTGTTGGAGGGTTTAAGGGCATAAAAGGCTGGTCGGAGTCTTGCTCAGGGGCCAGACCTGCGAAGACGGACCCTCAAATGACGGTCAGAGGGCCCTTTGCGCGGATCGAGGACCCCTGGGTCGATATGGGACTATATGCCGGTCAGGTACCACCGTACCACAAAGTGGGCTCGGTATCGGTATGGGCTTGAAGACTTGCTTTCCAATCAGATTTGAAGCCAGGGCCACCGATTTACGCTGGTCTTGGGCCTTGTATCTGTCAGGGGCCTACAGCGCCTAACAGAGAGCCCGTGCTCGCGAGAGCCCGAGCCGACCAAGGAAAGTATTTGATGAGGCCCGATGAGGAGCCGAGGCAAGCCACAGGAAACGATTGTCAAAGGTTCGGTTGGGGGGTCATAAGAGCCCCAAGGACAGGCTGTAGGTTACATAAAGAATCGAGGCCCTTACGGTTGGGACCTGAAATGTCAGCCAGATGTCCTCTTGCACCGTTTTAAGAACCTCTGAGACAATGCGGGCGTCTAACTCGGTTGGATACCCCGAGCACCGAACAGTCGGCTCCATGCCCGTCTGAGCCCTTGAGACCCATTTATCAAGCAGAAAGGAGGCCGGGGCCCGCAGTTTGCAATGTTCGGGATCCCTGATGCAACGAGGGGCTCCTGTGTCGGTTAGCATCTTTATTATTTATTCAAATGTCATGGCTGCTATGCTGGCGATGCATCTAGAACTGTTTATCACTGGTGCACAATCTTGCCTGTTCGACTGGTCTGTCATTTGGCAAATAAGGCTTTCCAGCTTCCCTAGGTTATTCGTTCATTTCAACATTGTTTTTCCTGGGAGACAAAATTCCACGAGCCGGTAGGTATTTTGGGTTATTAAGGAAGCATTCGCCTCCACAGTGTAGATGCCAGATTACGGCGTGAATGCAGGCCGGTGAGAATTTTGAAAGTGGACCGATGGCTCACGGTGCGCCAGGTTTTTCATGTGCCTTCATTTCGCTGGCTGCTTTTCAAGAAATAAGATTTGTCACAGCATTTTAGGCGGAAACAAATTCGGAAGCTTGAAGCTGATAGAAACAATGTGACAAAATCCATAAAACTGGAGATTCTCTTTTAAGAATCAAGCCACATAATAAGGCCCTCCAGTCACATGTTCCTCATCTGGGCCCTGCTCCTGTCCGCCGTCGGTGGTCACTGCCCTGGCCTGGATGCCTCCCGCATGACTGACTGCGAGCTGATCGTGAGGCTTCTTTGTTGCACACTTTTGGATCAGCGTTACTTTTACATGGTGTATGAAACATGTGTTGGACACCTCATAGTATTTTCCCGAATTATCGTCCCTTATACCACGCCATCGCAGAAAAGTAGTCTCCGGGAAGCTGTCTGCCTTATGTATGGATTGGCCCAACGGGCACTTCATTGCCCATCATGCAACGTACGCGACTTGATCTGTTTTTGAGTGTAGGCGAGGGCGTAGCCAGAGCCTTGCCAGGAGGAAACACAGGGTTGACAAAAGCCCATCTTATGGCGCCCCCCCCCCCCCCCCCACAAAAGAATCCCCGGATATGGCTTACTTGTTAACAAGTGACACGATTTTCTTCGTTGAAATTGCTATTTTCACCTTGTAACCAGAACAGAAACCAGGAGCTGCCGCGAGCTCGATTCTGTTTGCATTTTGAGGTCAATAAGCTGCAGAAATCAGGCGTTGAACGACTGCATGGAAGAAATCACCGGCGCTTTTAATTTACAATGGTTAGCTGACTTGTTCTAAACCGATAGAATTCAGAAGCTTTATCAATTTTTTATCTGGGTTCTATAGACATTGAGGACACCGCGAAAGTAGATTGTAGGTCGATATGCTTTATCCAAATTTGAAGATGAAAATTTGATTGTAAATCGAGTGGTCCACAATGTGTATTAACATGGCCAGGCCTTGTTTGCCTGAAAATGTTCACCATTCAGTCAGAATGGATTAGTGATACAATTCACGGAACGTGTTTTTTTAACATTCTCGCTCGCGAATCTTAGCAACAAAAGCCTCCACACCAGGCGTTGCAGTCTTCATAGTCCGCGGAGCGTTAGCCCAGTAGCTAACATATAGCCGTGGCCCGCCGGTGGACGAAAATGATGACGCTTCTGAAATGATTACCTTCAAACACTTTAATCAACTAGTTGCACAAGTTGTGTGGCGTAATTTTGAGCATGCACACTCAAAAGTTGTACAAACACAAGCCTCGACTCGAGGCGTTGCAGTCTCCGTAGGCTGTGCAGCGTCGGTCTGGCAGCTAATATTAAGTTGTGGCGAACGGGTGAACGAAAATTACGATGTTTTGAGAAAGTATCTCTGGACACTTCATGACATCAGGTCTTGTATTTAGAAGGCAGGCTGATGGCATATTTCACGCGTGCAATTTTTAGATTGATGAAAAGAACGGATTGGCCCCTAGAGCACTGCGAAGTGGGACTGGAATCTGGTGGTTGAACTGGAAGGGTTAAGGTAAAATCTCTATTTTTCGTGTTTCCGCAGCTACTTATCTGTCCAGAAGACAGATTGACACGGCGCCCGCCGTCTAGTGGCACTTGCAGTGGCCGGAACTTATCCGTTTTCCGAAGTTCCAACCCAGACCATCCTTGTCCTTGCTCTCGAGGTTGCGGGCGGGCATGTTCAAGCCTTTTGATGTAATTTGCTTCAATAACACATTCTGAAAGAAATGAACATTCTCAGGGAAACATGGCATGACCCTGCTCGTTTTTTTAATTCATTTCGACTCGTGCTTTTCAACAAGAATGAGAGCCCCACTCTACTCAACAATAATGAGATTTTTCAGGTTCAGAATGGTCTAATGGCCCCTTTACCGGAAATAAGAGTCTCATTAGTGTTGAATGGACTTGGTTGAAATTAGTTTCAAACGCGCAGGGCCATCCCATGTTTCCCTGAGAATGTTCGGTGTTTTGCAGAATCGACTAGTGAAACAAATACCATCAAAATGTTTGAGCCTGCGTGCCGGGTGTCCCAGGTGTAGGAGTTTGCGCGCCTGCGTTAACCAGTGTGCGTCTGGGAAACCGCAGGTACGGGGTTCGAATCCCTGCGGTGCCTGCCCTTTCTGCCAGGGTGAGAGGCCGGCGGCGCCATGTAGCTCCGGCAGTTGAATGCGTCATAAAGCCTCAATGACACGGCCGTAATCTCAGGGAGAAAGGACAGCGCTGGTCGTTGACGATGGCGTGGGTCGCAGTTTTCGTAAGACCGAACGGCGTTGGCCACTGCAAGAAACGTGAGAGGGCGGGCGCCAAGCGCGCAACAATGGCTATAGTAGAACCATGTCCCTGCATGCCATTCAAAATCAATTCAGCAAAATGGCAAATATAAATTTTGTCTTTCATCTTCCAGTTCAACAACCGGATTCCAGCCACACTTCGCGGTGCTGTAAAGACCAATGCGTTATTGGCACCAATCTAAAACAACACAAGTGAAAGATACACCCGGAATATCTCACAATGCACGATCTAATGTAAAAAAGCGTTCAGATGTGCTTCTTTCAGGTGTGTTGCTATTTTCGTCCACCTATTGGCCACAGCCTAGTGTCAGCCACAAGGCCGATGCTGCGAGGCTACGGAGACTGCAACGCTTGGCGTCGAGTTCTTTGGTTTCAACCCATGCGAACGCGCGATCAAAACTACGTTACATAATTTGCATCTAGCATCAATTCTGACCGAAGGTTGAAGATTTCCAGACAAACATGGCCCGGCCATGTTGATACATGTTGACTCATTTCGATCTTCAATCTACATTCGCGGAATCCTTGCTATTTCTGCACAACCCAGCTAAAAATTATGGCAAAGTTTCTGAGTTCTATATTAAAAGAGTGAACGAAACCCTTGTAAAAGGAAGAGCGCCGGCGGTTTTTTTCATGCAGTCCTTCAACGCATGATTCCGTCAGTTTATTTACAACAAACTTAAGACGGAATCTACCTCGCGGTAGCACCCGGCTTGTATTCCAGTCATAGAAGGTAAAGATGTGTAGTATGTATATACCTATACATATATATATATATATATATATATATATATATATATATATATATATATATATATATATATATATATATATATATACATATATCCCCCTTACTAAAGCTCTGGCTACGCCTGTCACCAAACGGGATCAAGGTGGTAAAGTTCACCTCGGCACGTGCCTGCCAGCCTTCAATCTAATCCGGGCCGCTTGACAATGGAATTAGACTGTCGCGTATTATCTGATACCCACCTGCCGCTGTGGACACTGCGTGCAGGGCTGTTGGTCGTTGATGGGCACTTGAAAGGTGCAACGGCAGTTTTTGTCGTTTTTGAACGCTGGGGGCATTGCGAAATGTTCTGGTACTAGGATGTTTATCAAGTTGCATGGTAAAGATGGAATGTATTGTTCTTGGCTTAAGCCGAGCTGGTAGTATCCTCCGAGACAGGGGCGCAGTCAGGGCCTTGGCAAGGGGGGACACAGGGTTTACAAAGGCCCCCATGACAGTAAAAGACCCCCCTAAAAAATTGCCGGATATGGCCCATTTGTTATTGAGAACATATTTTCCTGAGAGAGAGAGAGAGAGAGAGAGAGAGAAGAGAGAGAGAGAGAGAGAGAGAGAGAGAGAGAGAGAGAGAGAGAGAGAGAGAGAGCAGAGAGAGAGAGAGAGGAGAGAAGAGAGAGAGAGAGAGAGAGAGAGAGAGAGAGAGAGAGAGAGAGAGGAGAGAGAGAGAGAGAGAGATAGAGAGAGAGAGCAGAGAGAGAGAGAGGAGATAGGAGAGA